AGATGATCAGAAAAAGAAATATGTGCTCATGGTCTTTTACATCAAATAAATAGAGGATATTCGATGTTTTATAGTTGGGAATGGAGTTTATTTCACGAGTGGGACAAGTATTTTGGGATAATGTCGTTAAGAGTGCGTAGTACAAGTGAAATTAACAGAAAAAACTGTCTCGGGAGTGAAAGAAATTTCATTTCAAACTTCAAAACATAGAATTCTCAGTTTATTACATTTCTTTGGATTTTTCTCTTTTCTCCCTTTCGTCTATTAGCTGTCTTGTCGAAACACAATGGTAAAGCCTAACAATTGTCAGATTGAAAAGTTGGATTTCAACAACAATTTAGAGAAACATTCATATGGCGTTTTCTAAAAGTCAATGTCAGGATAGTTTTTTTTTTACTTTTGTTATCTGTAATAAGTATTTTCTTTATCAGTCTTCTGAAAGGAAGAAAGTTTTTTACGCGGTATTGTTATTTTCACTGTAAAAATAACACTTGTTCTTTTCACACTGAAAACAACACGTCCGTGAAAATATCCATAATAAACAAGTTGCTTGAGTTTCTGATTGACAATATCTATGTAGTTTTTGGAGTTCAGGTCTTCCAATAATCTGTCGGAATACCTATGGGTACTTGCGCCCCTTTAATACCAGACCTATTTTTGTATTCATATGAAGCAGAATTGATTAAAAACCTTGCATATGAGAAGAAGAAAGTACTTGCTGTGGCCTTCAACTCGACATTTAGATATATCGACGACGTATTATCAATTAACAATAGTTACTTCCATTCGGCTCGATATATCCCAGTGAACTTGAAATAATAGATACCTCAGAGTCTGACACATCTGTTTCATATTTTAATATTTTACAAGAAAAAGACGTTAATGTAACCTAACAACAAAGCTTTATGATAAAGATGATGACTTCAACTTTCCTATCGTCAACTTTCCTTACTTAAGTAGCAATATACCCTAAACCTGCATATGGGGTTTAAGTGTATGTCTCCTAGTTGATTCAATACGTAAGAGCATGCTCTACGTAAGAACGAGACAAGCTATTGACAAACATGTTAATAACACAAGAATATCAACAGTCTCGATTAAAGTAATCATTTTGCAAGTTTTACGGTCGATACAATGATCTTGTAAACAAATATAAGCTATCATTAAGTCGAATGCTGACTGACGTTTTCATACTGATTGTTAGGACAAAACGTACACAGTGAATTGTCAACAGATTTTTCCGTTTTCCCGATCATGATAAGGAGCACATGGCAGGTGTGACCGGTCGGTAGGGAATGCTTACTCCTCCGTGGCACTTGATCCCACGTCTGATGTTTTTAGAGGTCCGGATTTGCTCTGCTTCCTATTTGTATTGTTTCAATAGACTTTTTGAGCTTGTTTACTGTTCGTTGTCTCGATTTATCATTGATTAAAATTTGAAAAATGTGTTTATGTGAAAAAGTTCACACCACTTCATGCTTCTATTAATCACAGTTGCATGTGTTAAGCAATGTTTCATTTCGGTACTGGAGAGCTATGGATGAGGACTTAAAAAAATAAAATACGTTAACGGAGACATACAACAAATATCCTCTGATATGTTTTTATTTAAAAAATCGATTTATCATAACTGATAAGAAATATTTAAACAGAAAGGAAGGACTGAAATATAGAATTATTATCATCTCCACATCAAGCACGAATGATACCAAGGAAGCAAAAGTCGATCTCCCACATTTATTTCCTCTCCATAAAACTATGACTATTTGTCATATTTTATGTTTAAACTGTAATTGGCCTACCACATCTTCTGGATTTTGTAAACCTCAAACTATTTTGCTAAATGTCCCTTTTGATCTGATAGTTACCTGCTAAACATCGATTGATTACCGACATTTGATACAACAGGTGGGTCATACTGATGTCACATTACAATCTTACATCAATGAATTTTTGGCCAAGTTTGTGTTTTTTTCTAAATGTTTGCACATCTAAATGTTGTCATCAGTTGCTGATTCTTATTATGAAACAGCATACTAAAAGATTTTATATGAAGTTATACACCTTAGAAGTAATACGAGAATCTATCTTGACTGTACACAACAATACATTCTCATGCAGAAATGCTACGATTTAATTTAAGTATAAAGAAATTAAGGTTGCATTTTGAAAGTTCAACTTGCATTAATGAGATTAAAGATGCACTTATTAAGTCGAGAGAGGAAAAGCTTGTACTAAAAGCTTTCATGTTTTGAGATGGGGTTGGGGTTGGGGGACATATTCGAAGATTGATAGCTTTCTTAGTAAAAATAAATAGCATGAAACTTTTTTTTTCAATATTTCTTGTAAAAAATCATGAAGTAAGTACTGGAAATTTTCCTTAAATTTGGCACTGATGCATGAAAAAGAAAACATTTTTCCTAATTTATTCCTGCATTTGCTTACTTTTTTCTCCATGTTTGATATCATGTTCCTTAAGTGTAACATACACTACAGAAAACAATATTAGGAGTTATTTTTCAATAGAGAGAGGATTATACACATGTATGATATTATGCAACACGAGACAAACTTTTCATCATATCTATGGTATAAAGCATTCAAGGAGAATTTATCAGTAAAATATGGAATCCGGATAGGGCCATGCAGTTCCCTATCGCATCATCGCACCATCGAGGTTTGAGTCGATAGTGCGATGACGCGATAATGCGATGACGATGAAGCGATGGTGCGATAACGATGAAGCGATGGTGCGATAGCGCGATGACGATGATGCGATGGCAAGACAATGCGATGACGATGATGCGATGGTACGATGAAGCGATAGCGCGATGGCACGATAGCGATGATGCGATGGTGCGATATCGATGATGCGATGGCGCGATAGTGATGACGCGATGCTATATCGTGTCATCGTCATTGCTGTATCGCACTATCGTCATCGTGTCATCGCACCATCGCTCTATCGACTAGTACTTTCTATAACCGGATAACATTCCCAGCAGTCATTGCACAACATGGCGTTTGTTGACGAAAAGATTCAAGAATATTTCTTTAACGGATACGATAATAAAGAAATCATATTCCTTCTTTGGAGTAATTATGGTGTGAAAATAATAAGGTAGGTATTATTAATTGTCATAAGTTATGATAATATAAGTACCTGTATAGGCTAATATTTTCTCTAAGAGTAAGAAAGTTACTATACATTAGATTTATAGTCTCATTCAAAGATTGTTTATATGCGTGTTCTACTTGTATGTATATATTTGTTATTTAAGAAATAGTGATTGAAGTTAAAATCTCCCATTTTAAGATATATTTTATGCATTATTTTTTAAAATAATTAAGCTGTAGACATTTGAAAAGACGCATGACCAGACTTAATTTGAGAAGAAGGAGATCATACAATGTGGATATGGCAATAAGGGCTATTCAGGTAATATTGCTTGTGTTTTATTTCATCTTTCTTTTTTGATAGATTGATCAAATCTAGAAAAATCGTCAGTAACATCTACATTTTGATGATAGCTCATTATTTTTAGTGAACTCATACAAATGTTAAAAATTTCATATGATTTACATATATTCTACTCCAAGGAAGAAATGATGTTCAGTGGACAGACTCTTGGGTGTCATTCGATGAAACGAAGACTTCTTCAGAAACATGGCATCTTTATAGGAAGGTATATTATCTTATTATGATTAATAAACAGAATTCAGGTTTCTTGTTCAAAGTTTTGATTTTATTTCTTTAATTCAGCAGAATGCCAATTATACAGAATATTTGCTGACATTACATTTATGAGCTTAAGGACATACACAACATAGTGTTGGAATTTTATTTCCTTATTCCCTTGTTGATTTAATTAAGAGTTCAATAACTGAAAAACCTTTGTACAATTTAATGATGCCTGTAAATGCCGTTACCTCCTCTGAAGCAAATGTTGAGGAAATACCAGCTAAAACTATATTTTGTTATTTTTTTCTTTGAGAAAATACAATGATTTTTATCATTTGACATCTTTTGTTACATCCTGGTAATGTATGCTGTTTTTTTTTGGGGGGGGGGGGGTCTTAAAACACCTGATGAGATTCTATAATTTTAAATTAGGAATATCCTGGAAAATAGTTGGTAAGGTACACGTAAATGCAAGTTGCATATAACCTTAAGAGGCAATAATGCTTTTCTTAGTCACAATTTGCAACTTCTATACTACTTAACATGTATTTCTAACTTATCTCTTTATTTTCCTTTTTTTTTCAGAAGGTACATCTGAAATTAATCTAAACATGCTCTTGGCGTTTTGGACTGGAGCTGACACAATCCCTCCACTAGGATTTCACAAAAAGCTTGAAATTAAATTTGTGGAAGACCTTGCCTGTTTGCCAGTTGCACATACCTGCGATCTTTTGTTGGAAATATCTAGGGGAGAAACCCCTGAGGAATTTCAGAGAAAAATGTAGTTGGCATTAACTTTTTTTTTGGGGGGGGGGATTCCATCTTGCTTAAGAAAATAACTTTATGTATTCAATGCTATATCTATGTTTTGAAAGTTTTCATTCAATTAATTTTTAAACTCAATAATGGCAGTGATAGTCATATTAAGGAATAAGAGTATTTCTTAAGGGAAAGATAATACTAAAGGACATTGATAATCATATGAGGAGCATTTCTTCTGGGAAAGATAATGCAAAAAGACATTGATTTTTGTATGGGAATATTAATTGATATTTGGTGTATTTGTGGTAGTAAGCATGCTTGTGAATTCTAAATTCTAGATTGTTGTATCTGTATGCCAAAAAAGTTTTTCTCAGAGCAGTTTGCTTTCCTTATATCCTCATTTTGCAATTTTCATTAATAGTTGTTCTAATGAATATGGCATGTATGGTGACCCAATAAACATAGTAATAATTTCTGTTTGTGACTTTTAATTCATACACTTAGATGATTAGTGTACAACATTTTTCATGAAAATTGAAAAAAAGTCAAGTGAAACATCAGGTGATGATTTATTCTCTAATCTTAATTTGGATTTTACAACTTTTCAACCAAGTACTTCAAAGCCTCCATGGCCTTCTCAGTGGTGTTTGGAACAGTTCTCCCACCCTCCAAAAGCAAATGATCAAAGTATGCTACATTGTCCCCACAACATCCTGTCGAGCTTGGACTAGGAAATAATCTCTGAAACTCTAGCACGTCATGAATATCTACTGGAAATTTATAATCTACTGCACCTGTACATAAAAAAAATGAAGCCATTATGTGTTGATACTGTTTTAAATTTGAGCACTGAAAAACAACCAAGGTATCGAAGGAGAAAGGTAAACACAGAAAAATATTCAAATTAAAGTTAGTGATTAAACAAATCTTTGCTAGGAAAAATACCAAAAATTTGAGAGTGGAAAAACATCATTTCTGGTTTTCCTGGGAGACTTCCATCATCATCATAGCGTCTTTGTGCTCTGTTGTAATGGTTATTCCATTCTGTTTTTATTTGATCAAGTTCTTGTTGGATGATTTTCATAAAACAGAAGCGAAGGCATTCTCTAAATTTGTAAATTTTAAAGGTCAATTTTGAAAACAAGAAAAAAATCAGGGTGAAATTTTTCCTGTAAAAAAAATGTTTGTATTTCTTAATATTTCTTTAATTAGAAAAACATTTATAAATGGTTGGTTTAGTCTTAGTCATAAGGATTTAGGTAACATGCCATGCAGAAATATCATAATAGGTTATAAATGCATAAATTCTTATTTTTTTAAAGTATAGATAAAGAATTTATTTCTCTTCTTCCATGTCTTTGAACAAGTGTATCCAGAAGGAGATGCCCATCTCTCTCAATGTTCTCCACCAGCGTTCAATTCTCTTAAATCAAAATGTGTTTTTGAAAAACTGAAGGCTGATTTTTCAAAAGTAGGTCAAACTTCAAGTATTGAGTACAAATGTTGGTACTGTCACAAGGAATACACAACTTCCCTAGGATCAACCGTTCAAAGTTATGGCCAAGGTCAAAGTTTTACAAAAGTAGGTTAAACTCCAAGGTCAATTATCATAATGTTGATACTCAAAGACAGATTTTTTTAAACAAGAAATACACATGAGAAATATGAAATCTCTAACATCAACCATTCAGAAGTTATATCCAAAATTAAAGTTTTTTCACAAGTAGGTCGAACCCTATGGTCAAGGTCATTAGGTCAAAAAATGTTGGTGCATTAAAGTCTTTGCAGATAAAAATACAGACAGACCCAAAGCTATATGGATAAGGCCCCCGAATCTTTAATCATAGGGGCATAAAACAATCACATAAATATGTCATATATTAATTCCATAATGATACAGAAACAAGAATTTGTATATCAAATTATGTGCAGAGATATTTTAAATCATTAAACTGACTTCATTTTCAAATATTTGACAACAGGTTTCTTGAAAGGGGTATAGAGAGGGGTATGGGAGGGTTATCCCTCCCCTAGGTCAGAAAATTTATAATAAAAATGCATACAAGTCTTGCATTCTGGGGGTCATTTGTTTTCAAATATGAAATAAACAAATAAATAGCAAAAATTTAAACAAAAGATTGGTATTTTCATGGGTTGCAATTGCACCCCCCCTCCAATGGCTCTGTAGTATAACTAATACTATAAAAAGAACTGTGTTACCTTGAACTCTATTAAATGAAACTGATGCAAATAATGAAAGTATCAAGTTTGCAAAACTTATTTTTAAAAATTATCTGTGGTATCAGATTACACTGTGAATGACGCCTATGAAAGATAATAATATGAAGATTTTTTTGGTCTTTGAAAAGTAATAGTAAAAATAATCAGTAGATCTATTTTCCCTCAGGAAAAATGTTCAGAAAAGTAGAGAGTTTGAAAAGAAACTTAAATGAGGATTACATATACAAATTTTTAAAGTATTCAATTACTTCAGTTATTTGATCTTATATTGAGTTAGGACTAACTAAATTGACTGTGATTGGAGTAGTAGACCATTCAGATTTGATCAATCCCCCCCCCCCCAAATTTTCAAATCAAAGGGCAAATTACTCTAACTTCTACTGCAGGAGTGTTAACTGGAATTGGAACTCAGTCCTAGGTGTGCAGATTTTAGAAGGTTGTTAAACTCATCTGATTTGTTTATACACCATAAGTTACTGAATCATATTGTTATTTAAAAAAAACAACTTCATATTCCTACCTGGTTAGACATTGATCTTCTTTGATTACACTCCTTTCTCCACACATGTCATCATTATCATACCAACGGAAGGATTTTTGAATGTCCTCAATGTATATATTCTCAGTTCCAGCATCAAGTCTCACACACCTTAAAGCACCTATGTATTGGAAAACTCATACTACCATGAACTGAGACAAATATGGTTTCTTTGTTCAAGTAAATATTTTTTACAAAATAATGCATTTTATGTGTATTTATTCTGTATCAATACAAAATAATGTATTTAGAATGTTACTTAGTAGAAAATTAACTTGTGAAAATTAAACTGCATTTACAGTTTCAGGAATATATTTATCAATGATTTGTAAAAATTATATACTCAACTATTTATTTCCTCCAGGTATTTCAAGAAATATGATGCTACAACAAAAGAGTCATTGTTTCTTCTTGCAACTTTAAGCCATAGTATTTCTTCTTGAAAATCTGAAAGAATAGGAATTTGATCATTTAGATTAATAGTTAATATTGTTTTCTGATATGTAGCTACATCAGTATATAACAATAATAAATTCTATAACTTCATAAATTCTTGTAATCTTACATGACTCAAATGAACACTAAAAACTGATGCACATTAACTTATCCACACATTGCACCATATATAGCGAAGCCAAATGGCTTCAATTTGTCGTACCCATCAACATGTGCAAGATAATTTGGTCCATTGTTTAGATACATTCTTCTTGTCAAGCAGTGATTTGCTCTTAGATCAACTCCATCAGGATCGATTATTCTCAATAAACACCTTATCCCTGGAACAGTATATATATATATATATATATATATATATATATATATATATATATATATATATATATATATATATATATATATATATATATATATATATATATATAATCATCAACGATTTTAAATCTAATCATTACATTTTGTGTCATCGCGCTATCGCTTCATCGTACCATCGTATCATCGTCATCGCATTATCGCGTCATCGCACTATCGACTCAAACCTCGATGGTGCGATGATGCGATAGTGAACTGCATGGCCCTATCCGGATTCCATACACGTGTCATAAATAAGATGTCAATTAATCAATATGGTTTTCTTTGACTTGAAAGATGCGTAGTAAATGTTATTCATTCTTTTGTTTTATATTTTATTGAAGCTATTTAAAATTTGTGTATTAATAAATGAATTTTATTGGATTTTTCTGATAACAATATATTCTGTTTCTAAAACATTAGGCCTTTGCAAAGATGTGGAAAGCAAGATTTTGCAAGCGACAACAACAACAAAAAAAAAAAAACATCTGTTCTTACAGTAACTTCGAAATTTTGAACAAATTAAGGTTAATTTGAAGTTTTTCTACCTGATATCACAGGCACTTGGGGTATGGACCCCCCTTTCCATTTTTTTCTTTTTAATCTGGGGTCGAGTCACCTTTTTCCTATTTTTGTATTCTAATATGCACTGTATGTTATCAATAATGTAACTCTTTTGTCTCTATAAGCTGTTTTTAAATATATCGTTTTCGACTGATACATAAAAAGAGAGAAGGCTTGCAACTCTTTTCTCATCGCCTGCCTCACCTCGCTTAAACTTCGCCTGATTATTTATCGAAAGAATAAGAAAACATGGAATATGCATACATCAATAAATTCGTTATACATTCTTCTTCCTTTCCATATTTCCATTTAATTTTTATGTGCCCCCGATTTGTAAATATTTCGATTAAATCACCCGCATCTTGGGTAAATTTTGTTGATGTGCACCAGCTGGGACGGAAGTGCCCGGTATTTTCGGGTATCATCATTACGTGTAATGTCATTCGGAACATTAAATGCGAGAAGGAATAAATCCCGAATTTTCTCTTCATATAACATGTAACGGTAAGTTCTGTGAATAACAAGAAAACTTTAACTAGCAAATTCTAATGGATGAAAAAAAAGTCACGTGACATCTAAGGGTATGGCGGCTTAATTTGAGCTCCAGAGTTTTTGGTCAATTTAGGGCATTTATAGAAGGATTTAATATTCGTACCTTGGTTTATTGTGTCCTTTTGTGCCTGGAGAGTGTTATTTGTGATATCTGTGCATATTTCTGCATTTACAATGCCGTCAGACACGAGAAGGAAAACCGGGGCAAGTTCTAAAAAACAGACTGAGGATTGTTCACAGAAGAATCCAGGTAACACAAAGTCGCCTAGTTCTCCCAGTAAAAAAAGTGTGAGCGAACCGATAGAAGAAACAACCGTTAATCGGTCTATTGTTGACAGCTCTCAGTCTCGCTCTATTGATGACATTAAAACAACTGTTGAAGCTATAAGAAATGATCTATGGGAGGGTGATCAGAGCGTAATTTCAAAATTAAAATACGTTGCAGAACAAAGCGAGAGCAATTATGATGACATATCTTTGCTACGTCAAGAAAACACTCAACTGCGGAGAGAACTGGAATTACTACGGTCAGTTGTAATTCGAATGGACAGAAAAATGTCTCTTATGGAACACGAGGTTACGGATCTTAGGTCAAGGTCTATGCGAGACAATATCCTTATTCACAATTATCCTTACGAACCCAATGAGGACCTACCCACATCAATGCCAGTAACTTTTAAAGAACTTCTAGGGGTGGATGTTAGTTTTGTAAGGATTCATAGGAATGGGGCACGCCCACAATACAATTCTGACCGACCTGTATCCATTACTGCAAAGTTGACCGACCGTAGTAAAATTAACACAATTCTTAATGCTCAAAAGCTAAAGAAAATTGCCAAACAACCATTACCGTTCTTTATTACTACACAACAACCTGCATCCATTGTATCCGCTCGAAACAGGGTTTATGATACAGCAGAGTCTTTGCGCAGCCAAAACATCACTGTTAAGATTCAAAAGAATCAGATCATCTTGCCCAATGGCTCCAGTTATAAAGATGACATACCATTTCTATCAAATGCGGACGCCTTATTGGTAACGCCTGAAGAGACAGAACATCTAGACTCAGTTGAAACAAAAAATTCGCACCCCATCAAAAAGGACGGCTCGGAATTTATGGCTTTCGGTGCTCGAGTTAAGACTGTGGAGGATGTCAAGAATATGTACAGCAAGGTTTTAATAGATCCATATGCAGCAAGTTCAGATAATCGTATCTTAGTTTATAGATTTTCTACAGAAGATGGTACCGTGCACGAAAATTATCATGATGATTGTGAACATGGGGCAGGGCGCAGACTTTTGCGATACATGAGAGAAAATCAAATTCACAACACAGCTTTCGTCATTACAAGATGGATGGGCGAAGCCCATATTGGACCTCAAAGATTCGCAATCATGGA